AGTCCCATCGAAATAAGGTAACTTGCCCGCAGGCACATTGATAAAAGACTTGCGACCATGGTTAGTCATAGACATAGAAGAATAGTTAAAGGATATGGCAGCATATTTGTTGTCATCATTCTTCTTGCCCTTTCCTTTCTTGTCCTTCTTGCTATGCACTTGGTAGGACTCATCATCATCACCATTTTCGGAGCTGCTAGATAGCTCACTTGAAGATGCATTTGAGGCTTTTGCTTCTTATTCCTTCTTCTTTCTTGCTTCTCTTCTTTTTCTTCTAGCTTCTCTCTTGAGTCTTCTTTCTTCTTTTCTTGCTTTCTTCTCTTCTAATCGCTGCTGCTCCTTCTTCTTCTTCTCTCTTGCTTCCCTTTTCTCTTTTCTATCTGCCCTTCTTCTTCTTCTTGCTTCTTCATTTTGAGCTTTTTTGGCATCAGTCGCCTCTAGCTGCGGGAGCATGGAGTTGCTTGTTGTAGAGGCGCTAAGCTCACTGTTGTCGGTGTCATGCAGCCCAACTTCCTTCGGATTGACGTTCATGGGCTTCACAACACCGGATCCTCCCCGAGCTCCATACCTCACGCGGTGAAGCGCACACGAGGTAACCTTGCTCCGATACCACTTGTAGGATCTCTGGAACGCCTAGAGGGGGGTGAATAAGCCTGTAAAAATTCAACTCAAACCAAAGTCAAATTCACCCATGGTACTGTCGCTCTGTGAGCGCGGCACTACCGTACCTGCAGGAGAGATTAGTTCATAGTTCAAAATCTACCCAACGAAATTTAGATTGAGTAAATTTCTTAGCTTTCTGTAGGGTAGTAGATCACAGATCGACAACTGAAAGTGGTGGGAACACCACACACAAATAGATCAACCTCAAACTCTAGAAATCACCTCAATCAACAATATGTCATGCAAGTAATGTAAATCAAGCACAAGTGACACGATGATTTATCCCGTGGCTTGGCTCGCCACCAAGGCTTGCCTACCTCCACGTTGTTGAGGTTAGCCACTAGGGCTTAGAGCTTTCTAGCCCTTCCTCGTTCTCAAGTCAAGAGACTTAACTCTTGAGATGAGGGGTGAGTTTACTAGCTTCAAGAGATGGTTATAAACCTCTCGGGGCTGCCACACAAGTTGGCAAGCTCCGCGGGCGATGCTCTAGCCGGCTAGGAGCCAAGCTCAAAGAGTAACAAACACAACCACCGGCTAAAACGTGAACCAAGTGTTCTTTAGAGTTTGGAAATCAATGGAGTTGTTCTCTAATCGAGTTTTGGACCCTTATCCCTCAAGGATTGATGGGAAAATCAATGGAATTATTTGGGGGCTTGAGGTCAACAGTGGAGTGAGAGAGAGAGCTCTTGCTCTGTTTTGGGTGTGCTGAAGTGAGGAAGAAAAGAGCGGGTTGGTTACCATTGGGGAGGAAGGGGAAGGTATATATACCCCCCAACCCCCAATGATCACTTGAATCACAGATAGCCGTTGGGGAGAAAAAAAAGGGAAAGGTATATATACCCCTAGCCCTCAACGAACATGGCACCCAAGAGGTCGGGCGAGACGAGGCCACGACCAAAGGATCGGGTGAGCCGGAGCCCGCGACCTTGGGGTCGGGCAAGACGGAGCCCGCGACCAAAGGGTCGGGCGAGCCAGAGCCCACGACCTTGGGGACAGGCGAGACGGAGCCCGCAACCAAAGGGTCGAGCGAACCGGAGCCCATGACCTTGGGGTCGGGCGTTTTAGAGCCCGTGAGCAAAGGGTTGGGAGAATGGGAGCCCGCGCCCAAGGGGTCGGGCGAGTCGGAGCTCGCACCCCGCAAGACAGCAAGGGTAATAGTGAAGTTTAGACTGTCTTGGCTGTGAATCTGAGGATGCTTGTGGTTGTTTGAGCACTTGGTAGCACATATTAGCTTAAGCATTGTGCCCTACAGCTTTTCCTATACTCAAATTTAATATATAAAATAATTTAAATCTCCTTTGAGTTTGAAGTCATCTATATTTATAATTGGGGCTCCTCCGTTTCGTGTAGCATCCTCGAATATCAATTCCCTGCTTGTCATCTCGATAAATCTCATTAGTTCTCTAATTGTGTGGTCATTATTACCAAAACCCACAATTAAGACTTGATTGCACTTTCAATATATGATGTTCCACAATATATTTTTGGTTCTTTACACAATATGCATGAGATATTCCATAGTATATTTGGGTCATTCACTTAATAGCCATGTGATATTTCATGATATTTTTTCTAGTAACTATGAGATTTTTCTATTTTTCATTTTGTATGATTTTAAAAAAAAAGCTCTTTTATTCATTTTATTTAAATTGAGTTTTTGTTGTTTTAATTTCCGTACATTGTGTATTTTGCAATGCCTCTATAGTACCATAAGATGTTACACGATATATTTTAGTAGTATCCACAGATATGCATGATGTATTTCGATTGTTTACATGAAAGGACCTACAATGCCTAGAGGGGGTGAATAGACGTATCTAAAAAAATCTACAACACAAACTTGAAACAGTAGATTAGCACCTGTCGACAAAAGATTACGCTGAAACTTCTGATAGATGTTGGAAGTTTCGACGCAAACTCGTCGGAAATTCCGACACCTACGAAAAGTAGGAAACCAGAGGGCAAAAGAAATTCAAGTTTGAATATGCTTTTTACCCCACTTCCTAGTAGATAGATGAAGATTTTAACCACCTCCAAATGGTAGATTAGGGTCAAACCCTAAGAATGAGCTTGAGGGAGGAAGAGACAACAAAGGACAAGTAATTTGAAACAATCACAACAACAACAAGCATGGGGACACAAGGATTTATGTAGAGGTTCGGCCACCCCACTAAGGGGTGCCTACATCCTTGTTGTCGAGGTGATCACAAAGGTCGGAGTCTCTTCCACCTCCTTGCCTCTCCTAAGAAACCACAAAGGTCAACTCGATTTCTTCACTAGGAAATTAAGGGTGATACAAACTTCCTAGGGTTCTCCCACAGACCAGGAGCTCCCGGGCGACGCCTAGCCAGCTAGGGGCAAAGCACCGAGAGTAACAAACACAATTCCAACCGGCTTAACAAAGAAATAAAGTGCTCAAGCTTGCTTTGATGTTTTTTCTCACTAAATCTCTTATCTCAACTCAAACTCTTGTAAGACTTGAAGCTAGGAGCAAAGAGGAGAAGAGGAGAGGGCTATGAATGCTAGGAGCCTATTTTGTCTGAAGGTTGGTCGCGAGTGAATGAGTGGGTAACGGTCAAAAGAGAGGAGAAGAGATATAAACTTCTGGCGATCTGTGTCGGAACTTCCGACAACCATGGTTTCGTATGGACAACAATACGAACAGGTTGACTTTGGCTGTGCACATATACTATGCAACTTCCGACAGTCGGAAGTTGTGATGACTGCTACCCATGATGGCTTAGGATAAGTCAGGACTTTCGACTCCTATTGGGAGTTCCGACCGTCAGAACTTCTGACGGCCGCCAGATCTTCGGGCGAAGAAAAACACTAGAAACTAATCCTAAGTGTCAGTGCAGTGTAATTGAGTGTCTCTCATATGAATTTATTTATGTACTTGAACACTCTATCTACTTCAGACCATCTGGAGTTGCATCCCTCTTTATAGTGCGGTGAAACCTAAACTCAAATTCATAACATAAAGCGAATTTTAAACTATTTGAGTTCAGACGCCTTTCAAACTTCGAATTGAGGGGTGCCATTTCATCCAAACCATCCTTTAAATCTTTTAAGGGGCTAAAAGCTACAATATCACTAGATAATCTCATTAGTCCCTAATTTGGATGTCATTAATACACCAAAACCCATAAAGAAGGCAAATGCACTTTCAATCTCCGCCTTTTCAGTGATTAATGACAACCCAACTTAGGCTTACAAATGATTGAAAGAATATTTTAATGATATTGAACCCCAAAATTTACAAGGAGCTCCCCCTCAATATATGCAATGGTTTTGAATTCCAACCATGACCCTTAATTATCATTTGCATATACCAAGTGAGTGAAGCTCCCCAATAAATTTTGCAATTCGTGGGTGCCTAACAAGGTGTGTGAACTTGTTATACAAACACATGATGCATTATGACATTATATATTCACAAACAAAAGAAGATGATGGCCAAGAACACATGATATAAGCCAAAACAACAGATGACCATCCAAAAATAACAGCCATCATCACAAGAAACAAGTAGGCAACCATGTCAAAGATAATATAGATAAGCAACTAAGGTTTGCCTACAATCAACCATCACACACATGATCTCCCGTGGAGACGAGCATAAGATCACTTACTATCATTTCCATTCAAATTGGTTAATTTTTTATTTCTGGTGAATCCTATTTTCGTTCCTGTTTCACTCTACATCTGGTGCCCCAAGCTCCAAGCTTGCACTAGACCCTGTCGAGTCATTTCGCAAATATCCTTTGCTAGATACTTGTCATCAATCAAACACATCATTGGGGGCAAGAAAACCTTGCTGCCTGCTCATGACTCAACCGATGTGATTATTCACTTCAAAGCAACTTTGTTCATCCATCATCGAAACCCCAAAACCGAAATTGGGGCCTAGATGCATTCTGAGTATAACTTCTTAAATGGTATGGTGTCTTGGTCTTATAGAAAGGGTATGGTAGGTTCTATGATATTTTTTTTTCTAAAATACTAAGGGCTTGTTTGGATCCTCCCATCTTTACATAAGCTAGATTAGGATTTGTTAGACGTCTTAGGCAATTGTATGCATCGCCAGGTCCGTGAATATGTGATCTGCAGAAAAGTAAACTTGGATAAATTTGTGCAGGTGAACAAAAGATTGCGGGAATAATCTTGCGGTCTACTCAGTGCCAAAATCTGTTTTATCACTTCTGTTATCAAGAGCTGAAACATTCTCCAACATGCTAAATAGGAAACAGATTTGACAATCATGCTTTGTGGCAGAACCACAAGAGTTGCTTCGACCTCTAAAAAAACAAGAGTTGCTTCGAAGCAGCTAACGTTTGTTAGAGTATGCACTTGCTACACGGCTCAATAACCTCAAGGTTCACAGCCGAGGGCACTCTCCCCTTGACATATCTCTGAATGGCGATGCGGGCCTTTTCAGCCTCCACAAGTGCCTCCTTATTCAGTAGCAAGCACCTGTCAATCTTGACAAACCTCCTATCGTGGCCACGGGTAGTGTCTAATGTAAGGCACTTCAATGCCTTTGTTTTCTCAATAATTTGGATCGTGAGCTCGATCATGCTCTTCGCAGAGCAAAAGCCAGTTATCATCACATTCTTGAGGTTGTAATGGCACCGTTCTTGAAGGCATCCTGGATGTGAGTAACCACTCGAATCTTCAATAATTGAATCCCGCCTTATGGTTGGAGCCACAATCTGCGTAGGCATACATCAGTGTCCAGTTTCAAATTGTGATCAAAATCAAAAGGTTTTTCATTTAGATTGGATATACAAATTTTCACCTTCATATAAAGTACAATTGTGAACAAAAATCATGATTAGGGAACTATAAGTCATATCCAGTTTCCTATTTTTTATTTAAAAAATCCAGTTGTTCTTAGTTTAACTTTCTGGTTAATTTCACTCAGAAACAGGTGCAAGGCCAGTTCAGATTTATTGCCGGTTGTTTAGCTGGGTGATGTTATGTATATTACCCTTGTTGTCATAATTATACTCCTAGCTACTTAGCAAGGATACTCGCTAAATTAGTTTCCAGCACACATAGCTTGTCAGAGAAATGATTACTTACCCGTACAATGAGAGACTCCAAGGCAGGAGAAGCATCAACAAAAGAAACAAGAGAACAGAAATCATAGTCTGGGGAAAAATTTGGTGAGGAAACAATTATCTCCAGGGACTTGAGCTTGAGGAATTTGCCAGATGCAATTGGTGTTTTCACTGTCTGATGGAAGAGATGCCCCAAAGATTAGTTGTGGACTGAATAATTGAGCATTGTAAACATAAAATTATACGACCAAACACTTCAGAACAATAAATTTATCAGGAGGATAGAACTGACCTCATCACTCGTCGATAGCACAAGAGTTTGGAGATTTGGTGCAATGAATGGAAGTTTGGTGCTAGCATAGTACAGCGCGTCAGGCCAATGGTTACGGATAATACTTGCATTCGTCAGTTGCGATGCATCACCAAGTGATATATGCATTGGACGCCCAGCAAAGAAAAAAGTGGAGAGATTAGGGGCATTGCTGTCAATCACCTCCAGTGTCTTGCAACCAATCACAATCAGGATATCAAGCTTCTCCAGCAGACAAGGTATCTTCAAGCAAACTACATCATTGCAGTTGGCCAGGTAAAATCGCACCAAAGAACAAGAACTGGACAGAAATCTATATAGTTCCTCCCCTATAATGTGGACCGAGTGCAACTCCAAATTTGACAAGCTACTTATTTGGAGAGCTTGCGCCGCAGGGTGAAAAGAACATCCAGTAAGCAGAAAAGACTGAAAAGACTGAATGGATTTCATCTGACTGAATAAAAATGAAGCTGGGAAATTGTATTTATGTCACCACGCTTGAATGATAGCGCAAATTCTTTAATCCCCGGCGTAATGGCAACTTGAAGCCAACGGTCAACATAACTAGGATCGAGATTTGAACAAGGATAGGTATTAATTATAAGTGTCTTCACTCCCATGCCAGAGTGATTCTGCATAATGTGGTCAACTCTATTTGGCAAATCATCACTAGAGGCACTTTCCTTAATTCCTAACGAAGCAATAGACATGATCAGATGTGGAAAACTTCTCCAGGAACGCAGAAAACTATGAGATACGCAGGCAGTCCGAGCAGCATCTCGAATTGGCAGGAGAGAGTGTATTTGGTGAAGAATGTCCTGTGCAAATAAGCATGAGAGAACATATATTAACCATTACAAAATGGTTGTACTGATAATGCTTTCTTCAAGCAAGCAGTATGGACAGATTACTAGCTAAATTAATTTGTTTCATGTTAAAAGGCTATATTCGTTTTGAACCATGCATATCCAGGGGCCATCTCATTTTCAGTTGACACAACCTAAACAAGATTTGCGACAACCACCATCGCCACATGAGGATGCAAGATAATTACAGTTCAAGAACATCGGTGACAGACCTACCTAAGTGGCACTACGACTCTGGACCTAATACTGTTTATGAATGTCAGATGCACTATCAAGTTCCTATAATCCAAAATTGAAAGCATCCAGAGATTAGCGAGGGACAAAGTGGCCATGCCCCGATGCAGAAAAAATCTTATCTTTGAATTACTCAATTTCACTGCTTAAGTGATATGGCCCCCTGGTTTTGTATCTTGAGTTAGAATTCGCCCCTTTCTTTTCCTGTCCAGGATCTGCCACTGGCGGCAATGGGGAACCCTGTTCCCCACAATGCTTGAACAAATTCTCTATTTCACACACCTAACTCGTTGAGGAAGGAAGGACCGAAAGAAATTATTTGGCACGCACCCATGTTTTCTTCTTGCTATAGAAAAAATGATTCGGTGGCTATCTCTGGCTAGTCGATAGCAGTGAAGACAGATAATTATGACTTGGACGTGCCTAATTAAACACTATCAGGATATCGTCTCATACCTCTGGAAGATCCACCTGCGACCCCATTGTGCCGAGACAATGTGAAATATCACCCTGATGACCAAAGGTGATGCCTTTGTTTGAGCTGCCGAACAAATTGATCTATCACCTGCAAATCAGAGTATCAGACAATACGTCATCATGATACAGAAGGATAACTGCAAGACAAAACAGCAAGCTCGACCACAACTGCACACAGCACTGATGCTTTGCTAGGTAACAGTCGATACGCCGCACGTTATGCGCAAGATCACCTAAACATTTTAAAAAAAACATGTATGTATTTATTATGAAAGAAAGAAGAAAAAATACCTCGAATTTGCTTAATCGACCAATCCTGCGCCCACGAGACTTGAAGGCCGCAAGCCAAACCGCTCGCCGGGGCCGGATCGACCGCGGCGGCTTCGGGCCTACCAGCAATCACGGCTGGCTCAGATCCAGCACGCCGGCTGCCTGGCGCCGCCCGTATCCGGCGTTTTGCGCTTCGGGCGACGGAAGTGGGATGACTCCGCGGAGGGGATCTCGTGCTGCGGGAGAAGGGATAGCCCTTCTTTCTAGAACCAGTGGTTATCCCGAACCGAGTTCAGTTCAGTTCAGTCCGACTCCGATCCGTTGGTAAACCTGGACATACTCGGACTTGGTCGGGGGACCCTTGTTTCTGCACTGCATGGACATGACATGATGATGTGTGTGGAAGAAAAAGAAAAACAGCACGCTAGTTTTTTTCCAGCCCTTAATTGTGTTTCTCATCGTCATTGCCTCCTGCTTCTGAAGACTGAACCTGACCCGACCCGTTCATCGGAGTAAGAAATTGAGAATCCCGAAAGTTACATTACAGGCATTAGAAATTCGGAAACTGGGGTGCTGGATGTGTGACTTGTCATTGAATATTTTGTTAGTCCTTATTTGTTTTTTCTTTACAATAGATAAAATCACACATTTGCGGTGGAAATTATTATATTTATTTAACCTAATCGAAGACAATATGGGTTTGTTTGGTTGGCCGGCTAATTTCTAGCCTGAGTAGAATTCTAGCCTGGACAGCTTTAGCCTACTCCCACCTAGCTAACTTCTGATTGTTTGGTTGTCTGTACTGTGTTAGCCTGACTAGCCCCATGGTGTGTTTAGTTGCTTGTTTGTTTTGGTACAGTCACCTTTTCCCTAGATCGGTAAGTTTACCCCTTAATAGAGGAATTTGGTCGAACATCTGGTGGGCACCTCTTGAATGGGTGCACAGCGAGCCCTGGTTTGTTTCTCATCACTCATCAGCAGGAATTTATTTCAGCACATTTCATCTATGTCAATCAGTTAGGACATTCAACAAAAACATCTACGATTACATACATGAGACAAAGAAAACAAAAGGCAAATGAGCCAAAAAGAGAAAAGCAACTGCAATTACAAGAGAAAATCGTGACTGTACGACTACAGCACACTATTCAATTTGCATCAGAACTTGACAAGCATGCTGTGATTACAGCGTGCATCAAACAATGTTACAGCGTGCATCAAGCAATCGTGACTTAACTGAATTTACTGAACTTCAGTTTTAGTTTGCAAGTACCCTACTTTGGAGCTCTCTACCTCCCACTCTGATCCGAGTTAGACTCTAAACCTTTAAACAATGTTGTAGCACTCATATAGCTCTACAACATGGTGTACTTGGTTTAGATTTTTGCTAATTGGATCGGAGTAGAGATGGGAGACGATGGCTGTTTGAGTCGATTTTTGGGCGTTTTCGAAACGCCATCAGGCTCTCGGTCGTGGCCGACCGTGTCAGCGGCGCGGCGCCGCCGTAGCCCTGCTGCTGCCCGCGCAGCCTCGCGCCCGCGTCCAGGACATCTTCTTGCGCCGCGCCTGCTCCTGCGACTGCCGCTGCCTGCTGCTGCTGGCCTCGTGCTTGGAGCCACCGGAGCCGGCGGAAGGGCGGTCGCTCTGCTGCTGCTGCTGCTCCTTGAGGCGTCGGAGAGGAGGGTGGAGGAGCAGAGCTTGTTGGCGAAGTGGAAGGAGAGGGAGCGGGGCAGGGACGGGTGGGACAGGATGGTGGCATAGAGGAAGAAGGCGGGCCCCGGCACCGCGTCCGCCTCGCGGCGGGCCTCCACACCCAGGTCTCGTCGTCCTCCGACTCCGGGGGCGGGTACGCCGGCACCACCTCCGCGGGGAGCGGCGGTGGCGAGTGGGCCGGCAGTCGGCGGCGACCTCGTGCGCGTGTGGCTGGCTGGCAGGCATCTCGAGGCGCCCAGAGGGATTGGGTGACGGCACCGTGATGGGTTGGGCGGAGCGAGGCGAGGAACGCGGCCACTTGCGAGCTGCGGCCGGTGGTCCGTTGTCGATTGCGGAGGAGCACGACACAGTCACCTTCAACCATGGCAGCGCGCGTGAAGGGCAGAGGAGGAGAGCACGGGCGGTGACGAGATTTGGGACCGGGGCTTAGCCAAGCCTGGCTCCGACAGAACGACCGTCCCTGCGTTTTTATAGAGCCAGGCTAGGGATGGTCGGTGGCTTCCCAGAGCCTGGCTATGGGCTCTAAACAGGCAACCATATAAGTCGAAGGTGACTTTCCGAAGGCTGATTATGGGTTAGCCATCCAACTAAATAGGCCCTATGTTATTGTAAGAAAAACATAGAATTATGCAGAAATGTTGTGCCATGATCGTTTAAGCACGTACGTAGTTGATGTAACCTTAAATTACTTTGATATGCCTACCTTTATGATTTTTTTAATGTTGTAAAAAACATACTACAGAGTATCAATTATGAAGTATTTTCCCCCGTATCTTACTTCTTCCTTAACGGGCTGTTCAGCTGATAGTTTTTGCGGCTAAAGCCAGCTGATGCTATTTGGTTGTGAGAGAAAAATACTATACCATGACTGATAAGCCGAGCTGATAAGTTCAAACGAACATGGCCAAAATTCTTTCAATATGCTTTCATTATCATATGCGCTTCTGACATTGTCATGTTCATTCTTTAATAGGTATCCTTTCATCATAGTAGACGGCCTTTCAATAATATATGTCTATTTTCACAAATAGGTGTCTTTTCACTCATAAGACAACCTTTCACTAAGTGGAAGTCTTTACACTAATAGACAACCTTTCACGAATAGACATCTTTTCATGAACATATATATGTCTATTCCTTTGTACATTAACATATTTCGTATAGTTTTCGAAGGGAGAGAACAGGAAATCTAAATCCAATAATTCCAATTCTTTTAATCTAGCAATCGTCACACTAGAACTTTAATAATTAGAATTAATCTATAAATTCGTCGCAAAAAAATCATCTATAAATTACATGAGTCATATTTATGAATAAAATATTCTTGGATTCTCCCACTTGGCTCATGTAATGACTTGAAGATTCAAAATGTACTTTAAGAACTCAGATACGATGGAACATTCAATCCTTCTTTAGTTAAATTGAAAAGATAGGATCATGGTGGTGTCAAGTTATTTTGTCATCCTTCCATGTATCACTTTCTATCCAACTCATAACAACTAAAGGAGAAAACCATCATTAACATTTAGTCGTTATACCACTAAAATATATTGTATACTCCATAAGGTTGATAACTATATTCAGCAAAACACAACTTTAATGAATTCATTTGTGTCCAAACTTTTCGAGCAACTCACAATGTGTGTATATAAACTCTCACAGATAATATACTATCAAGGACTTTGACTATAATGCTCATCTATTGGACATAGCTAGTACACGTCATCTTATGTTATGATGTCCTTAATAGCATATTCACTTAGGGTGCGTTTGGTTCGAGGACTAAGTTGGATGGGATAGGTCAATGCATGGATATTGACGTAAGGATATCCATGATGTATGTTTGGTTGAATATTTGGGACGAGCTATTTTTCTGTTTGGTTGGATGGATGAAATGAAAGTGGATGGGACGAGAATAGTTGAGTAATTATATCTATTATTTAAAAATAATAACAACTAATTACACACTAATAAATATGCACTAATACTAATTTTGTCATGATAATCACTAATTTAAAATAAATATGTTAATTAGCACCATTAGTAACCTAATTAGCACACAAAACATGCACTAATCAACGTATTAGCACTTATCAAAACTAATCCATCCTACCATCATAATTACTTAGTAATAATATGGCATACTAATAATCCTTAATTTATTTACTAATGACAAATATTAGAACACATGGATAAGCTGGTCCACGAGATTTTTACGAACCAGTAAATCTAGCATCTTGTTATATATTCCCTATCAAAGATTTTCTTATCTTAGTGATCCACCAAACCAAACACTTGATATCCATGGATGGTCCTATCGGCCATCTATGGATATCCAAGCAACCAAACAATTTTTTTTATTTGCTCATTAGACACTATTTTCTTTGCCTTTCTCTTTACACAAGTTTTCCTATTAGTGAGTTTGTACTTTTATAAACTTGAAGGGCCCAGAAAGTCGACCACAAGAGGGTGGATGGGAACCAAATCTATTTTTTTATTTTGGCCTATGTCCTAAAATCAACACCAAATCTTCAGAAAGTGCTCAAGAATCTCACACAAGTCAACTAGTGACTAGATGAACCCTAGGCAGCAGCAAAAATACCCTGGAGAAGCTGCAAAAGAAAACCGAGCAAAGCCCATTGAAAAACCTGATTCCACTGTTCAAACCAGACCGGTCCGGTGTGCATATCGGACCTGTTCGGTATGAACCTGACAACATGCATTATTTTGGGAGAAGAAATGAAAACCTCATCAAACGGTGTCCAAAAATTATGAATTTAAACCGGAGGCTGGGCCAACGCGTGGGGCTAGCGGCTGCCGCCATGGCTTCGTCTATGCTCGGACAGAGAGTGATGGAGGGAAGAGAACAAGGGGGCGGCCAGGCAGCACAGTTAAGGATGGCAACGGGTCGGGTTCGGATCGGGTGGAGTCTCCGTGCACCCAAAACCGAAACCCGAAATCGAAACCCGAACCCGCCCCGAAAACCGATTCGGGTGGAAATCCATCACCAAAACCAAACCCGC